TGTTTGATTGCGCATGTGCTGTTTGCTGGTGTTGCTCGTAGAGGGACATGAAGGAGATTTTTGTTTTCCATCATGCTTTGGTCGAAGCCTGTTGTTTGATTCGCGGGAGTTTCGATAGACTCTGCAACTGGTCTTGTTGCTGTGCCTTCCTCTATCTGTAGGCCAGAGGCTGGAGGTGGAGTAAGAGTAGTGCCGGGAGATCCGTTGGAGGAACTCCTCTCCTTCTGAGTTGCCATGCCTTGTGCTGTTATAGGAGTTTGAGTAGTTGATCTTGCCTTGGAGGCTCTGATACCATGTTGGGCTGAGAACAAGCCCTTGGGATCTTTTCAAGGCTAAGACTTTGGGTAGAGATGTTGTAATTGCGGAAGCGTATAGTAATATTGTCGAACCACCTTGCACTAGTGTGTGAGAGCAAGAGATTGATTATAGCAAGGTAATACAAGGTCTTTTATAAGATTACAAGGAATATGAAAAGGTGCAACTAACTGTTTTGCTGTTGCGGTTCGATACAGTAACGACTCGGGCAAGTGCTCAATACCAAGTCAGTTGTTTGTCCTTGCTGTCGCGCTGTATTTCGTCGAGTCAAGGGTCGCTGACCTTTGACCTTCGCGTAACTTCCAGCTGTTACGTTTTGTCAACCTCCTTGGTTGACTCGCTTGTTGCTTCACTGTAGTCTGCTTCGTTCGTGTTATTACTTCGATGCTTCAGAAGCGCCAACTATGTGTTTCCAACAATGACGGCCAGCGGAACGAACGGTCGGCTGGCAGGCTAGGAGCTAAAATGACTAAGTAGGTTAGGGCCGATCTAACTGATACCATCTCAAAGAGTAAAACATCAGAATGGTGTGATGAGTAGGGGTTCGGTATACAAACCTATAGGCTACCACAAGCTTCATCAACTAAGGGCTAAAAGATGCAGAGCGGTCTTTCGGGCATGAAAATTCGAATGTGTTGTATCATAGGGAGGACTGCGACAGATTTTTATTAGATGCGCGTATACACATGAGGATCTTGGTCGTTAAAACTAGGAAAGCAGGCAGTGTCGGGCATAATGAGGTGCATCAAATTTTAATGATGCAACAACCTTGTCTACTATAGCACATAATGGAGAAAACAATCATCGGTGGTAGTAGTAGGCCAGATGCGCTGCAGTATGGGATGCTCCGAGGATGATATACAACCCACCGGAGAGAGAAACACCGAGGCATGACTAAGGGTCATGGCCTCCACATTTAGTTATGATTGTCTTGATTTATACACAAGCTCTCTCTGGTGTATATTTCACACTATCGAAACTAGCATTCAGGGAAGGCGCGCTGTTGCTTGCTGGTTGCTGCTGACACATACTGGGAAGCTTCTGTACCCTTTCTGTTTTCGAGCCGCAACTCAACTCATTTCACGCCACACAAACATACCGCCCGCCCGCAGCAACTGGCAGGTTTGGCTGTCACTAGAATGCGGTGACCAATGAGGTCGCACTCTGGTGAAGGGGGTGACGGCGTCTCGGGGAGTAGGGCTGTCGTGAAGTCATCGTCGTCGTCAGTCGTCAACCCTCAGAGTGAACCGCTGACAGGTGCGACTACAAGACAGGATCCCTCACCTGCGCCTCCCTCCTGAAATGTGACGCGATGCGATTTTTCCTCCATTTCCTGCCTTGCATCTGGAAATCACCTGTCGGTCTCAAGTTTTCGCGAGTATCACCCTGTGTTACATGCAACCACATCAGCACATTGCAATTGGTCGTCTAATCTTCGATCGACATCTCAGCATATTCCTACTCAGATGCCACGTGGACAGCCATATAGTTATCTCAGCCCCCAAACCTCTCAGGTGGGCAGGTCGTTAGCATTTACAGTCACAATTCGTATTGAACGGTTAAACGTGTTGTTCTCATTTCCTACGTATTCAGTCGTTATGAAATGCAACACGTATCAGTTGGATAACCCCTAGGCGCAGTCTTACCAGGGAAGCCTAGCGAGCCCCTTACCTCCCATTCTTGCAGCTTTCTTGCCTATTTCTGTCACTTTTTTGCTCTCCCGCCTATTTCTGTCACTTTCTTGCTCGTCATACCTGATTCTTGTTGTAACCATTTCACCCTACTTCACTCGCCAGTGCTCTGCTTTTGGGATCGTCACCAAGACCAGTCCCAGTCACCATTATAATTCCCATCACCCCCAGAAAAGCGCTTTCTGCTAACGAAGTCCCGATTTCCCGCCTCTTCCGACGTTCTCCGCTTCCTGTTTTTCCTCCTTCGCCAAGCTTGTTCGTCGCACCCGTCGCCACTTATTCGTGTCCCCATCGCTGCTGTCGCCCGTCTTTGACAGAGTCCGCTTGGACGTCTGCTCCCGTCCGCGTACCAAGGCAAAAACGACCTTAGTGCGCGCAAGGGTCAAGAAAAGTCGCTGAGATATTTACCGGGCATCGCGACATCTACGTCGCGTCGCCGCTGTGTCACGTCTAGACTTTAAGAGCTGTTTTTAGTAGTCGTTTTTCAGGTGCTGCCACCGCTTCAGCGAACCAGTGATTAACCACCTTCGCAATGGCTTCTTCACTTCTTTCGATCCTCGATTTCGCCGCCACCTCCAAGGTCGTATCCCCTGCCCCCACTGGTACCAACGCCACGTCAACCACTGCCAACACCCCGTCAGCCGCAACTGACGCCACTTCAACCACAACCAACGCCATGTCAGGCACTCCTGCTGCCACATCGGAGGCCTGGGAGGAGGCCATGCGCGCTCAGCTCGCCACGTGGTTCGACGACCCGGATTTCGTGGACGATGTGCCGTCGATGACGGTCACCGTCGGCGATAACGCTCTCTGTCAACTCGACGGCGTCGCGACGGTCGCGCTCCCTCCCGACTCGGTCTTCTCCGTCGTGTGCGATCCGCACAACCGGCGCGTGTTCAAGAACATCAAGTCCGTGAAGAACGAGCGCGTCGTGAGTGACTGTAACGGGGTGAAGGAGCTCGAGATGGACATGGTCTTCGCGTTCCAGCTGCCCTTCTTTACAGGCACATTCGACGCCGAAGTGCGGATGGTACACGATCGCCCGAACCGCAGGATGACGTTCGCGCTCAAACAACCCGGCTTCATGCGCAAATTTGAGGGCTACTGGCAGGTCGAGCCGCTCCTCGTCCCCGCGTCTTCCGCGAATGCCCCCTTCCCCACCTCTCTCGCCTCCATCTCCTCCTCCTCCGCGCCCTGCTCCCCTAATTTCGCTTCCGCGCCGCAATCGCCCATCTCGGATTCTTTTCCGTCGGGTCGCCCGGAAGGCGACGAGACCGACTGGCCTGGCAGCGCCAGCAGCAGCCCGGACCGCCTGCCGAGCTCCGCGGACCCCGGCGCGGGCGGCGCGGGGGACGCCGCCGCGATCGGCGCGGGCGTGCGCGTGGCGTCGCGCTTGACGCTGCATCAGGTGGTGCAGCCGTCGCTGGCGCCGCCGGCGATCTTCAAACGATGCATCCACACGATTCTCCAGATGGCCACGCGCACCGTGCTGGTTGTTTTCCAGCACGAGGCCGCGCGGATCCGGAGCAGCAAGGGGGAGGCGGAGGTGGAAGCGGAGGGGGAGAAGGGCGGAAGGTGGGGCGCACTGTTTTTGCACAAGGAGGCGTTTGGGACCAAAAAGAGTGGGGCGGGGTTGGGGAAGGTGGGCCTGGGGAAGGTGGGGTTGGGAAAGGTGGGTCACGGTTTGAAGGGAGCAGTGCATCGGAAGTGAAAGGGAGGATGTTGATTCAGGAAAGCAGTATGAGCGGATATCGCCTACAGTATGTAGCATGCTACAAAGACCCAGAATTAAGTACGGTATACATTCTTCATTCGAACTAGGTTGGTGGGTGGTTTGATGGAGCAGCAGCTTGGGCAGATTAGAAAGGGAAAGGATGGGTTGGGATGGGATGGGATGTGGTGGCAGCAGGTGACGCATCAGAGCAGTTTTACAGTGCGGCCCTTAGGCATGGTGCTGACACCACCAGCAGCAAGAGTGGCAGGTTAGCAGATGTGGAGTTTGGGAGTAGATGTGGGGAACACCTGGTTTTGTCAGCGACATGCTTTAGAGTCTATATAAATTTGTTTCATTGTGGAGGCTTTTGGGGTTTTAGAGGGCTCTGGATGTTGGAGAATGATTGCATGACCTGCTACTAGTGCACTGTTTCCATGTTTTGATCTCACTAAACGAGCCTCTTCAACATGCACAACGGCTCATTCCACCGCAACCTCAACAAAGATTGAGTTCCAGGGGTGTCTGAACTGGACAATATCCGGCCTCCAATGATGTGTGAGGTATGGGATGGGAAACATGTGCCCTACTAACTTCACAACACAACCAATAATGTTTCAGCTATACGAGTCTTCGGGTTCAACCCTAATCCGTATCAGCAGCATTCATGAATCAGCAGTGATGTTTCACGAAGTTGTGTTGATGTTTTTTCCAGACAAAAAAGGTCGCTTGAGCAGGCAAAACAGGAATGGATCTATGTTTCACACGAGCACTGAGAGATTCGAACTCTCGCGGGTAGAGCCCATGTACTTAGCAGGCTCACGCCTTAACCACTCGGCCAAATGCTAACATTCAAATATCACTCAAATCATTATTTAAAAATATGCGTGCCTGCTGTAGTTGAAATTGTTACTTCTACATGTTTCTGACGCAGGTATCGCAACCTTACCAAGTTGAAAATGCGTGCCTGCTGTAGTTTGTTACAAAACCGAACGGCTTGACACTGGACTCAGTGGAGAATCGACTTTGTAGTTTGTTAGTTATCGTGGTGGGCGTGAAGCAGCTCCGTTCAATTTTCTCACCGCACAGCACTGCACTGCACCAGTTGCAGCCCCTTCTTGCAGCTTATGAATGGAGGATTCCGTTCCCCACCACACCGAGCAACAAACTCTGCATCTGAACCTTCACCTGATAGTGCTTCAGCTGCCGATGTAGAAACTATCCAGGTCAATGCATTCATCCTGTCTCTATCTATGCACTCAGAAAACAGACCTGTGGTTCAGTTAGCTGGCCATGCGAAGCTGCTTGGAAGGAGGGGGCCCACAGGGGGGAATGGGGACGACAAGGGGGAGAGGGAGTAACAAGAGAGGGGAGAGAGGGGAAGTCAAGACTCTCATGTGCATGTGAGCGTTAGTCAAGACTCTCATGTGCATGTGAGCGTAAGTCAGGACTCTCACTCTGGATGGTTTCTTCGTCTTGCTTCTCTCCCGTGCTGCACCCTCTGCACCGTCCCCTGCTCCTCCTGCTCCTCCTCCTCGTTCTTCTCCTCCTCTTCCTTCTCCTCCTCGTCCTCCTCCCACAGGAGTCCCCTCTCCCCTTCCCCCAACACCCCCCACCGCTCCTCGCCCCACCCCACTCGCTCCAGCCAGTGTAACCCCTGTATCTGCATTAATTGGTCCTCGTGCATTACCCTCTGTACTCACTTCCCCCCGCGCCCTTCCCCTGCCTCCCCCCCCCTTCCCCCCTCTCTCCGCACCCCCTCCTCCTCCTCTCCCACCGGGCCCTTTCCCTCTCCCGCGCCCCTTCCCACTCCCTTTCCTCCTCCCTTGCTCCTCAGCCTCTGCTGCCACTGCCGCTGCTTCTGCTGCTGCAGCCACAGCAGCAGCAGCGGCCAGAGCAGCAAAGGAAGAGGCAGCAGCAGCAGCAGCAGGGGGGAGGACGGAGTAGGGTTCGCCTTCAGGGGGAACGACCCACTGGGGTAGAAGAGGGGCGAGTTGAGGAGGGGGGAGACGGGTAAGAGTGGTGCTGCTGTTGCTGCCTATATGCCCCCCTTGCCTGGAGCCTGCTAAAGCAGAAACCCCACCACCACAGCTACCACTATCACCAGCACCAGCACCCCCAACCCCACTCCCACCGCCACCCCCAGCACCGTTGCCACTCCTACCACGGCCACCACTACCAGCAGCAGTGCCAGCGGCAGCGGCGGGAGCAGAGGGAAGTAGAAAGGCAGCTGCTGCTGCGGCTGGGTCGAGGGGTGAGGCGAGATGGCCTGGGGTGAGTGAAGAGAAGATGGACGCTGGATGAGGGGAAGAGGAGGAGGAGGAGGTGGGGAGGAGGGTAGGGATGTTGGTGGGGAGGTTGGAGGTGCGAGAGCGAGAGGACTGGGTTCTGATGCCGTGACGTGAGGAGGGGCGAGAGGAGGAGGAGGAGGAGGAGGGGAGGGAGGGGTGGGAGGGGAGGCGGGACTTGGGAGGAAGGTCCTTGAGAATGAAGAGGACCATTGCTGAGGGGACTGTCTCACCTGGCAGGGAGAGGGGGGCGGAGCAGGAGGAGGGGAGGATGAATGGTCCGGTGGGCAGGAAAGGAGGGAAGGGAATGGTGTGACAGGAAGGACCTTGAGAATGAAGAGCACCATGGCTGAGGGGACTGCCTCGCCAGGGAGGGGCGGGGGAGGGTGGATAGAATGATGTGAGTGGCAATGGCAAGGACAAGAGGGGAGGTGAGGCGGGACTTGGGAGGAAGGACCTTGAGGATAAAGAGCACCATGGCTGAGGGGACTGTCTCGCCTGGGAGGGGCGATAGTGTGATGTGAGGAGCAGGGACAAGACAGAAGAGAATGGGAGAGTATGAGAGGGAGGAAGGTCCTTGAGAATGAAGAGCACCATGGCTGAGGGGACTGCCTCGCCTGCGGATGAAAAGGGAGAAAATCGTTTGATGTAAGAGGTAGGGACAGGCGGGGAGGGAATTGTGTGACTGGAAAGTAGAAGTGGGAGGGGATGCATCGCACCACACCGCACAGCACTGCATTCCACCCACGCAACCAGACGGGCTTCAATAATGCCAAGACAGCCCTAACATTCCCCTCTTATTCATCGATCCAAAAATTTCTGACAAGCAATGGCAGACCTTCTGCTGTGACAGCGCCTCTATGGCAGTGGCAGTGGCAGTGGCTATGGCAATGGCACCTGGCACTTGGCACCTACTGCTGGCAGTGCTGACGACGCACCCATGTAGAAATAACACACCTATGCATTGGTGGGAACGCAACGCAACGCACCTATGCAATGGTAGACGAGGAACCAGAAGGGAAGCAGGTTGCCGTGCTTGTCCCGAAAGGAGAGATTCATTATGGGCTGTGAGGTTCACAAGGGACGGGATATGAGGGGTGGGTGAAGGCAAACGGGATTGGGGGTATTTGAAAGGGGCTAGGGAGAAAACGTCAACGAGCGGTGGAGAGACAACAGGCGGGGCAGACTTGAGAAGTGACTGAAGCGAGTACACAGTCGCACCACGCATGCACAGTGGATCAAGAAGGCATGTTTCCTTTGGATCCCTGCCCAGTGAAGGTTTTGGGATAAAGTTTGTGAGGGCACTGACCGGGATGTATTTGGCGAGGACAATGAATGCTCGGAGGGAGAAGCAGAGCAGAAGCTGTGCAGTGAGGGGATTGGCCGGGATGTCGTTTTGAGAAGTCTCAAAATTTGAGGAAAGGGGACTGACCGGGATGTCGTTTTGAGAAGTCTCAAAGTTTGAGGAAAGGGGACTGACCGGGATGTATTTGGCGAGGACGATGAATGCGCGGAGGGAGAAGCAGAGCAGACACATGCCGGCCAGCCATGCAATCTGATGGGTGGAGGGGGAGGTGAAACGACAGTGGAATTATAGGTAAGGGAGAGGTATGCAGGCATGGGATGCAGGGGGGAAAGCAAGAGGCGGACGCAGAGGGACATTTGGTGTGAAGGACAAATGCGTTTCCCTCTTGAGTTGCATAACTTCACATGCATCAGGAATGTGAGTGCATATGTATGACCTGTACGATTTCACACTCAGAGATGCATCGACGATTTCAGACTCAGCGAAACATCACATGCATCACATATATGCCTCACCTTAACAAAGCGACTTAGACGCACTCGAATTTACCTATCGCCCAGGTCAGCAGGACCTTGATGATGTCAGCAGCACCTTGATGATGTCAGCAGCACCTTGATGATGTCAGCAGCACCTTGATGATGTCAGCAGCACCTTCATGATGTCAGCACACACCTTTCAGAGGTCGGCACACGCACCTTGCTGAGGTCAGAACCTACCTTGCTGATGTCAGCACCTACCTTGCTGAGGTCAGCTGCGCTGGGTCCCGCCCTAAGAACGGACATCTTGGAAAAGAGCAGCAGCCCGTAGAAGGCCAACCCTCCTCCTGATAGGAGCGTGGCGACTGCAAAGAAGTCCGCATGCATCTGATTGGGGTGGGGGTGGGCGGGTGGGAGAGTGGGGGGAGGGAGATTCAAGATGGATTACGAAGGATCGCGAGGGACTGTGATATGCTGTGAGGAATTGCAAGGAGAAGAGGAGAGCAGCAGCCCGTAGAGGGCCAGCACTCCACCTGATAGCCGCGTGGCGACTGCAAAGAAGTCCGCATGCATCTGATGGGGGTTGGGGTGGGCGGGGAGAATGGGATAATGGGGAAAAATTCGGAGGGAGCAAGGAGGCAGGGAGACAAGGAGGCAGGGAGGCAAGGAGGCAGGGAGGCAAGGAGGCAGGCAGGCAAGCAGGGAAGCTGGCAAGCAGGGAGGCAGGGAGACAAGAAGGCAGACAGGGAAGCAGGTAGGCGGGGAGGCAGGGAGACAAGAAGGCAGACAGGGAAGCAGGTAGGCGGGGAGGCAGGGAGACAAGAAGGCAGGGACCCTGCGAGGAAAGGGGCGGTGGTGCTGACCTGAGCCATGAGAGTGGGGTCGATGGGGTTGTCTCCGAAGCCGTACCAGATGAGGAAGGCGAACACTACAGTCAGCAGCGATATGAAGCTCACCACCTGGTGATAGGGGGTGGGGGGGGGGGGGGACGAGATGCCATGGCATGGCCCGGGATGGCATGGCATGGCATGGCATGGCGAAACAACAAGGAAGGCAGAACAACGAGAGGGGCCTGCGTGATTTACAGAAAAATTGGGAAAAACAATTTCAAACGAGCTCAGATTCAGCTTACAGCTACGACGATTCGCTGCCTGCCCTTCACCCTCAGCTTCTGCCAGCGGAACCGGGGGGTCCTCGCCCCCCCATCACTCGCCGCACTGCTCCCTACCCCTCCTCTCCCCCCCGCTCCTCCCCCCCCTAATCCCCCTCTCCCGCCTCCACCTCCTCCTCCTCCTCCACCCCCTGCGCCCTGCCTCCCAACGCCACCCATCACCCCTGCAGCAGCATCCAGCAGTGGTTGCTGCAGGGAAGCGCCGTGCCCCTCCCCACCCTTCCCCACTGCTATTCCCCGCCCACCCTGTGCCTGGGTATGCCTGGCCGTGGTAGCAAGGGAGTGGGCGGAGTGGGAGGAGGGAGGGGTGCCGCTGGTGCTGCTGGCTTCGGATTGGTCTGGGGAGAGGGAGCGAGAGGAGTTGAGTGGGGTGTTGAGGGGGGTGGTGAGGTTAGAAGCGGTGTCACTGCTGGCAGTAGCTGTGGAGGCAGAAACTGAGTCACCAGCGGCTCTGTTTGTCATTCTTGCGGCTGCTCCCCTCGCCCCGGCAAGGCTGCTTGCGGTATGTGTTGGCGGGGCGCTGCTCGCAACACTCTGCTGCTGCTGCCACTGCTGCTGCGAGTAAGTCGAGCTGCTGTGCTGCGCTGCTGGTGGCATGGGCGGAATAGGGTCCGACTTATGCCTCAGCAGCCCGCTCCTACCTGCGCTCATTCCCCCACCCACGCCCACGTCCACGCCCATGCCCATGCCCATACCACTGAACGCATAACCACCAGTGGCTACTCCCAGCCGTCCCCTGGTTGCATCAGCTGCTGTGGTGCCTCTACCGCTCCCTGCTGTTGCTTCCAGGTCAGCTTCTTCCTCCTCATCCTCCTCCTCCTCGTCCTCGTCTGTACTATCTGAGGCCTGGTGACACAGGTCGATCCTGTGGTTGTGGGGGTGAGAGCATGAAAACCGGGAAATAAGAGACGGCTTTCAAGGCGTCTCAAAACTATCCATCTTCTTCCTCCTCCTCGCCCTTGTCTGTGGTGTCCGATGCCTGGTGGCACAGGTCGATGCTGGTGGTGGTGATGAGAGCAAGCAACCACAAGACAAAGACGACTTTTGAGGCAACTAAAAACTCCTCCCATCCTCCAGATTTTGAGGTGCCGCAAAACGCTGATTCTTCTCCCTCCTCATCCTCCTCCTCCTCCTCCTCGTCCTTGTCTGTGCTGTCTGGTGCCTGGTGGCACAGGTCGATCCTGGTGGTGGTGATGAGAGCATGCAAACCACGAAACAAGAGACGACTTTGAAAACACCTGAAAACCCGTCCTAATCATCCTCGTCCTGGTCTGGTCTGTGCTGTCTGGTGCCTGGTGGCACAGGTCGATCCTGGTGGTGGTGATGAGAGCATGCAAACCACGAAACAAGAGACGACTTTGAAAACACCTGAAAACCCGTCCTAATCATCCTCGTCCTGGTCTGGTCTGTGCTGTCTGGTGCCTGGTGGCACAGGTCGATCCTGGTGGTGGTGATGAGAGCATGCAAACCACGAAACAAGAGACGACTTTGAAAACACCTGAAAACCTGTCCTAATCATCCTCGTCCTGGTCTGGTCTGTGCTGTCTGGTGCCTGGTGGCACAGGTCGATCCTGGTGGTGGTGATGAGAGCATGCAAACCACGAAACAAGAGACGACTTTGAAAACACCTGAAAACCCGTCCTAATCATCCTCGTCCTGGTCTGGTCTGTGCTGTCTGGTGCCTGGTGGCACAGGTCGATCCTGGTGGTGGTGATGAGAGCATGCAAACCACGAAACAAGAGACGACTTTGAAAACACCTGAAAACCCGTCCTAATCATCCTCGTCCTGGTCTGGTCTGTGCTGTCTGGTGCCTGGTGGCACAGGTCGATCCTGGTGGTGATTGAAGAATGCAAACCATAATTGGAGCCCACACACAAATGTGAACATGCGAGCATCTGCATCTTCACATTTGAGTGTGGGGAGGGGGGGGGAGGGGGGGGGGGGGGGGGGGACGAGCGCGATTGTGTGTGTTTCTTGCCATGCCCCATCACGCTATGCCCCATCATGCCATGCCCCATCATGCCATGCCCCATCGCGCCATGCCCCATCACGCCATGCCCCATCACGCCATGCCCCATCACGCCATGCCCCATCACGCCATGCCCCATCGCGCCATGCCCCATCGCGCCATGCCCCATCGCGCCATGCCCCATCGCGCCATGCCCCATCGCGCCATGCTCACTGTACGTGCTGTGACAGCATACCGTACCAGAAGGAGAGGAGCAGAAGGAAGGTTGCCAGGAAGATGATCTGCGGTATGGCTGCAAGGCAACAAACACAAGGAGCACACAGGCAACGATACAGCACAGAAGCAAGCAGTGCACCACGAAGGTAACATGACGCTTGAGCAATTCATGGGTTTTCTCTGTGCTACAGCAGGGGATGACAAGTAAGGCAGTAATAGCAGCACAGCCCATGCAAGCAAGCAAGCAGGAGCACGAGGAAAGCTGCAAGCCAGCACGAGGAGAGCAGGGTAACAAAAAACGGAGAAACTTGCAGAGATGAGGAAACGTGCACGAGGGGAACATAGACACAGAGCGTTGCAGCGTGCCCCCCTCAACCCCCAGTGCTCAGCATTATGCACACTCCCAAGGAGGAGGAGCAGTAAGCGCAAAGCAAAAGACAAGAGCAGGGACGCACCAAGGGCGATGAAGCTGCAGGCGTGGGACCAGCAGAGCCATTGAGAGCAGGAGGCGAAGGGATTGACGAAGAAATAGATGCAGTAGCCTGTGAAGGGGATGGGGGAGGAGGAGGGGGCAGATGGGTAAAGGGTTTGAACAGAGAGTGTGTGGGTGGCAGGAGAAGAAGGTTTGTGTGTGGGAGGAGACTTGTGTGTGGGAGGAGACTTGTGTGTGTGTGTGGAAAGAGAAATGGGTGTGAGTGACACAAGAGGAGGCCATAGCCTCACAAACAGGCTCAGGAGAGGAATCTCACGAGGAAACTCAAGAGCAAGATCACAAAAGAACTAACGAGAAACCTCACAACAAGGAAGGTTTCCAGGGTTTGCTGCAAAAGAGTATGGTGAGAGGGTAGGAGGACCTGTGAGGGACATGCGATGCGACATGTGTATTTCAACAAGGAGACTTGCTGATGAACATGTGAGAGACATGCGACATCAATCGACTGAAGAGTCAAGACTCAGGACTGAGGACTGAGGACTGAGGACTCAGGACTCAACTCACCGAGGTTTGCCGCAAAGACCATGGTGTGGAAGACCTGCGAGGGACACCGAGTGCACACAACGAGGCATGTGATGTGAGAGACAGAGGAGGTGGTGCCACAAGTGAGCGAGGGCGCATGGGATGGGATGGTATGGGATGGGATGGGATGGGATGGGATGGGATGGGATGGGATGGGACACATGCGCCACAGACACACGCGCGCTGAAAAAATTCAGTTGAGAGAATTATGCTCCATGGTGGAGCGTGCAAATGTGAGGAAGGAATGACATTGATGCACTTTTGTTTGGTACGGGGGATGGCATGCGGTACTTCGAGTTTGCGGAATTCATAGGATGGGGAAATCAAACGATGGGGAATCCAAGAGACGGGGAATTTAAGAGGTGAAGAATCCAAGAAATGGAAAAATCAAGAGATGGTGTGTTTAAGAGATGGAGAATTCAAGAGCAGGAGAATCCAACAGATGGAAAATTCAAAAGATCGAGAATTTAAGGGATGGAGAATTCAAGGGATGTAGAATTCAAGGGATGGAGAATTCAAGGGATGGCGAATTCAAGGGATGGCGAATTCAAGGGATGGAGAATTCAAGGGATGGCGAATTCAAGGGATGGCGAATTCAAGGGATGGAGAATTCAAGGGATGGCGAATTCAAGGGATGGAGAATTCAAGGGATGGCGAATTCAAGGGATGGCGAATTCAAGGGATGGCGAATTCAAGGGATGGCTCACCCCCACACCAACCAGTGCCTACCTTTTGGCGCGTCCACTTGCCGTTTTGCACATGGCGGCAGATGCGAATGAGCTGCAGGCGAGCATGGGAGAACGGGAAAGCCGGGAAGGGGGCTGGGCATGAGCACGTGAGTCATTTAATTTGAGTGTGTCATGTGTTATGCAATAAATCATGATGTGCTCATCACGAGCTGATGGGTGGCTTCAGCAAGAGTCAATGCATTTCTCACTGCATGTGTCACTTCATTTGTCACTGCATGTGTCACTGCATGAGTCACTGCATGTGTCACTGCATGTGTCAAAGCATGTTCCAATGCATCTCTCAAGCATGTCTCACTGCATGCCTCACTGCATGCCTCAATGCATGATCCATCCGTGTTCATAACCCGTACAGACCTCATTCCTCGCCTGATCAGTGCATCATGGACAAACCTCATCTGAACTCACACATCCCTGCTCTGTTCCTGCACAAGACAACATTCACTACCTGCCTTTTGGGGGGCCTCAGAAGACCTGATGAGTGCAGCATGGTCATACTTAAACGCACACATCTCTTCTCCGTCCCGCACAGCACACGCAGCATTCACTACCGGCCTCGTTGCATACCTCACCGGCACAACGCGTCACTGAACGGTCCATCCTGAATGGTCCATCACTGAGTTGTCCAGATCACACACATCTCACCTGAACAGTGCATTATTGGACGGTCCAGATGTCGCATGTCTCACCTGAACCAGCGCGATGATCCAGATCACGCCGTCGATTCCCGCCATCACCCAGTTGGCCACCTTTAACGGGTCTGATATGCACTTCCTCGTTCTCCCTACATCGGGCATACAATGGGTCCCAGCCACCGCTATAGCGGGGATACACTCCTCGATGAAGCGCCGCATTCCCGACCCTAACGAAGCCATCCATCGGAGAGACTGCTTCCAGATAACACCTTCCCCAGCCAACCCTCCCCCACCTTCCCCAGCAAATCCTCCCCGATCCAAAACTCCTCCTACCGCACCCCCTCCTCCTCCTGCTGCGCCGCCAGCTTGCCAGTCCTGATGGAAGCCGATCGTTGGCTCGTGGCCGTTGATCAGCGCAGGATGGCCGTCGATCAGTGCTGGCCGACCGTCGACGAGCCCTTGTCGGCCGTCGATCATGGGAGCTGCACCTCCGTCTGTGATTCGGCGAAGGACGTCTGAGGCTACGGGGTTCATGGCTAGACTCGGGTTATGCCGCTTGGTTCGGTTAATGGTGCTAGGCTCGGTTCACGCCCCAGGTTTGGTTCATGGCGCTAGGCTCGGTTCATGCAACTAGACCAACGCGACACGCTCACGCGCACGAAGGAACGGCTACCTCTCAAAGATCGACTCAGAAAGCCGTGCCAGATAAGAAACGGGTGGAATCAAAATAGAGTAGTCAGAGAAACAGCTACTACGACGCACACGATGGAGTGAGCTACCACTCGCTACCCGTGTCTGGCTGTGGCTGTGGTTGTTGCATTATCCCCAATCGCACCTAGCCTCGGATTCGTCAGCAAAAGTGCACTTCTGCAGAGGGTTGGGAAATCTCCAAACAAACGCGAGACGAATGTTGGGCCATGTCAGAAACAAGGTTGTCGTGCGTAGTGACTACAGGAGCAAAGCAAATTCCACTTCGTCGAACTAATCGGTTCCCGTAACGACTTGACGCCTCATAACGAGTAAGCAACTACGCTAGATTGCCAGACCAGTATCCTATCGCTTCGATATCTCAAGCCTAGCTTTCAACACAACTTCATATAAAACAGATGTGAATGTTCGTCAAAAAACCTTTGATGCTCTGCGAACCAGAATCTCCGGGAATTTATGTTGCTGTGACCCATGATTCTGTCGGACAGCGTCGCTTTTGAATCGCAGAGAGGAGTTCGCGAACACTCCCTGACACAAGCGAAGATTCTGCGCTGAATGACGATCCCTAGGTTACTACGACTAAGGTTGCTGAGCTCGTCGTCAAGCAGCTGTGCGAAACACGGCGACATTTTCCAGCACGCCAACCTCGCCGCTGCAAGCATCCTTTGCTGGAATGCAGCGAGTACAAGGTTGCCAAGTCAGACTGCTGACCTCCACGTGCCCACAGGTTAGGAGATAAAAACCACGTCGACTTGTGGTGGGGTGGTGATGCTTTGGTGGAATGCGGTACAGAACCATATTGGAACTTTGGGAGGAGGGGGGGTGGGGGGTGGGGGGTGGGGGGTGACCGAATGATGTCATTTTTTGTGTTCTTTTTTCTCAGCACAAGCAGTTGCCTTCGATACTGTACGGTCCAGAGTGGTCTTCTCGCTTCACCACTTTGAATCGCTAGTCACCAGCCTGAACATCCTTGATAAAACAAAATAATAAAAGGGTGTTACATTATATAATATGTACGTTTACCACGAGCTCCGCGGTTCTCGCCTCCTAAATCGCACCATGGGCTGTGATTATATTGCAATTACTGCAGAGCGGATCTGTGACGCGCGATGCGCTGTTGAGCGGCCCACACGAAAACGTTACTCGTAGGCTCAGACGACGCAGCTCTAGATAGTTTCGCGCCGCGAACCATAGCCGACGCTGGCCGGGATGTTGGTGGCGTTCCAACACGAACTGGATCCGAGACTCCGTTAGTGGTTTGAAAGCGTCGTCCGTACGAGGAGACGGCCGATGGTGAAACGGACTCGCTGATGGTTCCAGGCTGCGATGCCTCGGATAGTACCGGCCACCGCGGCGACGCATGTCGTGGCACGGGAGAATTTAGGGTTGCCAAAGAAGGAACGCTCTGCCAGCGTGACAGGATTCTCCGGCTTGTAGCTACTTCGAATCCCGCCGCAGCCGTCTCAGGAACACTCCCTCGCGTTTCCAGTGTCTCCCGCGTCTCCCGCATCTCCTGTGCCTCCAATGTCCTCCGTGTGGCTGGGGATAATTCAAGTAACTCAGAACCCGCCACTTCAAGCTGCGCCGGTCGGGCGTGACAGCGAGCAGCCGCAACCTCCGCCGATGGAAGAGCATCACCAGACGTTTCAGTCGCGGAATATTTGGCAGACGAAATATTTGTGTTTTCGGGTGCAAGAGATGACGCATTCTCAGGCGTCGCGATGATCGGAGAACTCCGGGAGCGCGCGGGGCGCGCGCCGAGAGGGGAGGTACGTTGGTGCTTTGTAGTACTAGCGGAGCTTCCCGTAGCGAGGTTCCACATTTCCAGGCGAAGGTCGATGTTTGAAAAACGACGGCTGACTGACACATCCTCCGAGGGTACATGATCGGATGATGCGTCGCCGACGGAGTCATTTAATTCCGCCGACTCCGACTCTGAGGCACCGGCGCCACCGCGAAGCACCTCGTCTGTCTGGCAGGGGACGACCTCGAACTGCGACATGGCCGTTACGGTGTTGCGCCACCGCGAGTTGCGGAGAGTCGGCGCCGTGTTTTGCTCCATTGGGAGTATCAGTGGGGATGTAGCAGCAGCAATCGCGGTGGGCGCTGTTGAAAGCTCTGTCGGCAAGCGTACGATCAAGGATCCCATCAAGGATCACTGGAGGTACCACAACCTCAGTTCGAAGGCGTCACGAGAGTATGAGTAACTATTTCTGAACTGGTAAGCGAGCCTATTAGGGGAACCGCTTATTCACGCTCTTGCTGAAAACAGAAACAAATGAACAAATAGAACTCGAATGTCTCCTATGTCATATGAGGGACCGCCTTTTACGTGTTTACGAACGAAGCTGGTGTGCGAGTCCGTAAGGTCAAACAGGAGAAATACTAATGCGAGTAACACCGCTGGCCTTCGCTAGGTTTGAATTTTGGAGCCTGAACTCTGGACTTAGCCTGAGGCGCGTGCGACCGGCCGACCTGGCCATTGGTTCTGAGGAGGTCGGTGTATTATGGCAGATACAGCGGTGCAGCAATATCAGCCGCGTCGGCATACAATGGCTTCTCGCCTAACGCGTTCACGGTTGGACACGGGCCTGAAAATCCAGCTGTCGGACGGGTTGAAACCAGGCCTGTCGAAGTTCCTGGGACCAAAACTTAGAGTCCTGAGCTGCTCGAATTCTGGCCCTGATTTTCACGGGCGCAGTCCAAATTAAAAACTTGAAATCAGGGCTTCTTAGGAAAGTGTGCTTGAGCCCTGATGTAACACAGGAGGATGTTTTCTCTTACATACGAACTACTCATCCACACACCTACAGCCTCTACATCGTAGGCAAAAACACCATAGGCAAAAACATCGGGGATTGGGGGTGTGGGGGGGAGGCGGGGAAATTTGAGGGGGGGGGGGGGGTCCTTCGAAACAGAAACCAAAGCTTTGATTCAGGGGAAGGCCCAAACGAGGCCCGTAATGGTCACGGGTGCCATGCGGATCTAACACTTTCAATGGACGAGCTGCTCAAAACGTAGGCCGGAATGTTCAGGGCATTAAGGGCAAATGCCCTTGATTCTACAGCCCTGGTTGAAACGAAAGTCATCGTCCGCCTGATCTAGAACAGTCAAGACTACCTGCCCTTCGATGCGTGTGTCCGTGATGTGCTGGAGCCTGCAAATAATGGATTGTGGGTGTTTGCATTACGGTGATTGGTGGAGCAGTTTATGGACCCATTTCCGGCCAACAAGAAGCTAGAAGAAGCTTATGGCTTGTGTGAGACAGTGAGGTGGGGAGGGGAGTAGAGTGGAGGAGCCCACCCAGCTTGAAAACGAAGCTTTTGAACCCATCCCACCCGTGGAGGGGCCATCATCAGGCATGAGTTGACGTGCGTGCGTGACTTCAGCTGAGTACTACAGACAAGTTTCAATACATTTAGCAGGCACTAACAAGACGCACCACTAGAACGAGGAGAAGCAGTGCAACAAAACCACAAGTGGCTGCGGAGGGTTGCGGTACCGTTAGGTCTGGTTCGGTTAGACAGGGTTGAGGAGATTGAAGCAGTTTTGGTCGCGTTGTCGCTTTTCCTCGGAATGTTGATTGTAGGGTAGCAAGAAACCAAGAGTCAAATGTTAACCCGGTAAAACGTTTGGATATCAAAAGAACCATATTGCACCTCTCATAAATTCACATCACACCTTCATGCCACCCATAGACTTCGCTTCACAGGCTGACGTCATTTCTCTCCCTCCCAACCCAAGTGCGGCGGGCAACCTCAACCACGACAAATTGCCAGTTGGCGCCGCGTCAAACCCACTGTTTCAAACCACGCAGTGCACGCTGCAGAGTCACGCAACGGTTTTGGATGAGAGAGCATTCCTATCCCCTGTCAGACATTAGGTTTGACACGAAGTGGAGGTTCGGAAGACCCGAAGTGGCTCGTTTTTGGGGCGATTGGAAGTTCGGAAGAGACAAATTGGAGTTCAGGCCGCATGACTTGATGTCTGACATGGGATAGGAATGCGCCCTGAGATTGGTTGGGTTGAGTGCGCGAGGAACGAAGGGAAGTGGACAATCATTGCTGTGGACAAAAGGAAACTTTCCATGACCAAATGCACGAACAAGAACGAGAGGTGTTGTACACGTTTGAATGGTGTTCATACGATTAGGTGAAATAAAATATGCAGCTTATCCCACATTACATATTCACAAAAAGCACATATTGACGTCGGACGAAGCATTACTAGCTTTGTTAGCATTGAGTTTATACTTGTTGGTTTATTCCAAAAAACCAGCCTAAAAGTTGGTGGGGGATCACTTGGGAGCAGTGGGTCGTCTTCTGCCTGGCGGTGGCCTGAGCGGGACACTCATGACATCCATGGCTGCTGGCACTGAGCCAGAACGACAAGGTCGATGATACCCGAGCTTCCCTGTATTGTTCCCTCCCATACCGGAATCTCCATCTGTGGTTCCACATCTTTGCTTGGAGCCAAGGGCGGTTGTTGACCCTTGGTGTTGCCGAGCGGGGTTATCCCTCTGCCATGGTCCGTTGTGGTTTCCCAGGGGGACCACGGTTCCAGTCCTCTGTTTCGCCGAGTAGGTTTCGTTACTGTCACCATCTAGCAGCTGCCGCATGTCTATTGCACTTCCGTAGCGCTGAATTGTCCCGCCGTCTTTCCAGCGCACCTGAAATAGCAAACCGGCAGCGTTAGTAATTGAACCTCGTCAATGTCGAAGTTTCATAATACGAGTGTAAAAAAAACCGGAGAGTCGAAAAAACAGACGAGAGAAATTCCGACAAGGCAGGTAAGCGAGTCACCTGATTTGTCGATTGGTCGCCAGCTAGACGAAGCATCTCCTGCAACCACTCCTCGTCCATTTCCCCCTCGCCGTCGCCTTCGATGTGAAGTCTTCCGCCCGTTTCCGGCTGACATGCCATCGCGCGTAGCGTCCGACCGTCAGCTGTCCCAGATCTGTGTCCATCGCAAGACAAAATAATCACGACGTAGGTATACCGAACAAATCAGATTACGGCCTTACCATCGCAAAGCAATTTTAAGCTCATGTGGGCCACCGTGGCCGTGATATCTGAAACATGAGAGAGTCGTTCCTGACCTGGAGAGATGCCGGCCGAGGTTATCAGCGCTGCGAGCCTTAGACGGCGGAAGGTTGGCGACGCCGTTGACGACCAAGTCGGAGAAGCCGTCGGTGACTTTGGGAGCTCGGCAGCTGCTCGTCATGCTCTTGGCGTGCCGCTTCCAGCGACCCAGCTTGCGCAGGATCTGCTTCCATACCCGACCTGCCACGCCACGGAAACCGTGTGAAGCAATACACAGGAATCAAGAATGGTACAACGCGATTCATATGATTAGAAAAACCCGCGTTCCGGTGAAACTCACTGATTCGCAATCTCATGCAGATCAGCTGTAATCGCGCTGTCCCGTCTTGACACCGTTATTTCGGATTGAACAAGATTCGCCTTATACAGAGGCCCGCCTTACACAGAAATCAGTATGGTGGGCGGTGAATCCCTATTCTTGTAGACCTAAATAAACCATGGAGTGACGATGGAGTTGTTAATCTAGTCGGTCAGGAAGGTGACGGGTGATATGGGCCCTGACATCACGAAGCTACTTCAAGCCGTTGCGAACTTATGAATACGATTGCGGTACCAAGACACTAATACAAGTGACTGTAATCGTGCCTCAAGAAGGTGAAGAGAAATGCGGCTAAGGTAACTCTCCATATCGCCCGCGGAAAAGAGGATGAGGCCCAGAGGCGGCGTCCCAGCAAGGCTCAGGAATGCGCTTCCAGCCACACGTTTTGAAAGGCTTTCTGACTTGCGGATGGACGAGGCGCTGTTTTGGTGGCTACTTTTTGTAATCAGGAGGAGCTATGGCAGCCGAAAAGGTGACAAGTTTGAGTGGCAAACAGGGCGGTTCGCCGCCGTGAGCAGAAGGACGGTGTTCCGTCGTTGGCGATCTCGATGCACTGTTGAGTTGTGAGAAATAAGATTTGCAATCGCGCAAATGCTTCACTTTCAAAATACAGATAACATACCAATGAAGATGACCTAAATCATCTAAATAAATGTATTTCTAACATTCCCGCTCGATGAAGTGGTCGATGAAATTGAGGTTCACCCTGGGGATTTACAGTACGTCTAGTTTAGTGTTAGACAATTAACGTCCACCAAAAAGGCAAAAAACAAGGCTAGGATATTGCAAAGTTTCAGGCATCCTCGTTGTAACGAAACAGCGCGTCCCGAGGCGATTCACCCTCAAACCCTTCAGCCCTGTCCCCTCCACCTGTACACACTCCACTCCTTCCGCACACACATGCTCGCTCGGCTGTTGGTGTCCTCGCGAGATTAGCGGAAGGTGGGCACTGAACTCGTTACCTTGTCACATTTAAATCGTGTTCGTTACGCGTACCTGCTCTTTCTGAACCTGATCTCCCACCGATCGGACAGCGCTTGTCCTTTCTCGTGTTCGTCGCTATCATGACTGCCGTTCGTGCCTTGGAGCACGCCGTACTCGCTACAAGCGTCTCCTATAGTACGACGCGTCAACCAATAGCGCATGTCAGCTGCTCCTGCAGTCTGGGATCCGTGCTTCCCCGCAACGCGCGACTATCTGTCGCCGCTTGCCCTGCGACGTCCGCGACGCCTTCGACGACCCAGTCTCGCGGGCGGTTTTGTCGCGCGGTTTCTGCGAGGGCTGCCGCGGATGACGCCGCGAATAGCGGAGATAGCGACACGTCCGATGCGGCGCCAGTGCCAGCGTTGTCGATGAAGAAGGCGTCGCTGAAAGCGCGGCAGCAGACGTACCAACAAACGCCGGAGGAAACCGGTGAGAGAAGCAACGGAAATGTGCCTGAGTTCGGCTCGAGTTCGAGGGTGTGAGTGAGTGAGATGCAATGTGCCTAAGCCCGGACTCCGGCTCATGGTTTTTGCGGAGAGGTCGTAGGGGAGGGGCTGTCGCAGAGAGAAAGGGTGCTTGTGAGATAAAGGGTTGCCGGAGTCGGCTTGTGGTTGTAGCTGGGAGGTTTTGCAGGGAGCAAATTTTCAGCACACTCTATCCCTGGTATCAGCAGGTCTTGACGGTTGTAGAGTCCCGGATAGGTGCAAGGAAGCTGTGCTGCTGTTGCTTTCTATCGATTTTCCTGTATGGGGGATGTAGTGTGCTGAGCGCCTGACTTTAAAACACCGAGCAGGTCACACGTTTCCTCGAATACCAAGTATCATGGGTCCATCCGCCCTGCACAAGTGACACACTAATCGAGTGCCAAATCCCTATTGATTCTCCACATCGTCACTTATCCTCCATTTTCTGGTTTGCTTGTATTGTATGTACCCTTTCAAGGGCTTGTGCTTGGAAGACGACAGCTGGTTAACCCTTTCATCAAGTACCATTCTATATATTCATCATCTCGCAGGGTACTTTCCCCTCTGTGCTTATTGTTTCTTTACTCCGTACAGACCAACTCGATACCATTTTGGACCTCAAGCTTCAGAGCGCGTTCGACGTACCTCCACGTAAGCATGACTTTCCACGGCTTGCTCTTTCACCAAGCTGTCTTTCACCAAGCTGTCTTTCACCAAGCTGTCTTTCACCAAGCTGTCTTTCACCAAGCTGTCTTTCACCAAGCTGTCTTTCACCAAGCTGTCTTTCACCAAGCTGTCTTTCACCAAGCTGTCTTTCACCAAGCTGTCTTTCACCAAGCTGTCTTTCACCAAGCTGTCTTTCACCAAGCTGTCTTTCACCAAGCTGTCTTTCACCAACCTGTCTTTCACCAACCTGTCTTTCACCAACCTGTCTTTCACCAAGCTGTCTTTCACCAAGCTGTCTTTCACCAAGCTGTCTTTCACCAAGCTGTCTTTCACCAAGCTGTCTTTCACCAAGCTGTCTTTCACCAAGCTGTCTTTCACCAAGCTGTCTTTCACCAAGCTGTCTTTCACCAAGCTGTCTTTCACCAAGCTGTCTTTCACCAAGCTGTCTTTCACCAAGCTGTCTTTCACCAAGCTGTCTTTCACCAAGCTGTCTTTCACCAAGCTGTCTTTCACCAAGCTGTCTTTCACCAAGCTGTCTTTCACCAAGCTGTCTTTCACCAAGCTGTCTTTCACCAAGCTGTCTTTCACCAAGCTGTCTTTCACCAAGCTGTCTTTCATCAAGCTGTCTTTCATCAAGCTGTCTTTCACCAAGCTGTCTTTAACCAAGCTGTCTTTCACCAAGCTGTCTTTCACCAAGCTGTCTTTCACCAAGCTGTCTTTCACCAAGCTGTCTTTCACCAAGCTGTCTTTCACCAAGCTGTCTTTCACCAAGCTGTCTTTCACCAAGCTGTCTTTCACCAAGCTGTCTTTCACCAAGCTGTCTTTCACCAAGCTGTCTTTCACCAAGCTGTCTTTCATCAAGCTGTCTTTCACCAAGCTGTCTTTCACCAAGCTGTCTTTCACCAAGCTGTCTTTCACCAAGCTGTCTTTCACCAAGCTGTCTTTCACCAAGCTGTCTTTCACCAAGCTGTCTTTCACCAAGCTGTCTTTCACCAAGCTGTCTTTCACCAAGCTGTCTATCACCAAGCTGTCTTTCACCAAGCTGTCTTTCACCAAGCTGTCTTTCACCAAGCTGTCTTTCACCAAGCTGTCTTTCACCAAGCTGTCTTTCACCAAGCTGTCTTTCACCAAGCTGTCTTTCACCAAGCTGTCTTTCACCAAGCTGTCTTTCACCAAGCTGTCTTTCACCAAGCTGTCTTTCACCAAGCTGTCTTTCACCAAGCTGTCTTTCACCAAGCTGTCTTTCACCAAGCTGTCTTTCACCAAGCTGTCTTTCATCAAGCTGTCTTTCATCAAGCTGTCTTTCACCAAGCTGTCTTTAACCAAGCTGTCTTTCACCAAGCTGTCTTTCACCAAGCTGTCTTTCACCAAGCTGTCTTTCACCAAGCTGTCTTTCACCAAGCTGTCTTTCACCAAGCTGTCTTTCACCAAGCTGTCTTTCACCAAGCTGTCTATCACCAAGCTGTCCCAGCTGTCTTTCACCAAGCTGTCTTTCACCAAGCTGTCTTTCACCAAGCTGTCTTTCACCAAGCTGTCTTTCACCAAGCTGTCTTTCACCAAGCTGTCTTTCACCAAGCTGTCTTTCACCAAGCTGTCTTTCACCAAGCTGTCTTTCACCAACCTGTCTTTCACCAAGCTGTCTTTCACCAAGCTGTCTTTCACCAAGCTGTCTTTCACCAAGCTGTCTTTCACCAAGCTGTCTTTCACCAAGCTGTCTTTCACCAAGCTGTCTTTCACCAAGCTGTCTTTCACCAAGCTGTCTTTCATCAAGCTGTCTTTCACCAAGCTGTCTTTCACCAAGCTGTCTTTCACCAAGCTGTCTTTCACCAAGCTGTCTTTCACCAAGCTGTCTTTCACCAAGCTGTCTTTCACCAAGCTGTCTTTCACCAAGCTGTCTTTCACCAAGCTGTCTTTCACCAAGCTGTCTTTCACCAAGCTGTCTTTCACCAAGCTGTCTTTCACCAAGCTGTCTTTCACCAAGCTGTCTTTCACCAAGCTGTCTTTCACCAAGCTGTCTTTCACCAAGCTGTCTTTCACCAAGCTGTCTTTCACCAAGCTGTCTTTCACCAAGCTGTCTTTCACCAAGCTGTCTTTCACCAAGCTGTCTTTCACCAAGCTGTCTTTCACCAAGCTGTCTTTCACCAAGCTGTCTTTCACCAAGCTGTCTTTCACCAAGCTGTCTTTCACCAAGCTGTCTTTCACCAAGCTGTCTTTCATCAAGCTGTCTTTCATCAAGCTGTCTTTCACCAAGCTGTCTTTAACCAAGCTGTCTTTCACCAAGCTGTCTTTCACCAAGCTGTCTTTCACCAAGCTGTCTTTCACCAAGCTGTCTTTCACCAAGCTGTCTTTCACCAAGCTGTCTTTCACCAAGCTGTCTTTCACCAAGCTGTCTTTCACCAAGCTGTCTTTCACCAAGCTGTCTTTCACCAAGCTGTCTTTCACCAAGCTGTCTTTCATCAAGCTGTCTTTCACCAAGCTGTCTTTCACCAAGCTGTCTTTCACCAAGCTGTCTTTCACCAAGCTGTCTTTCACCAAGCTGTCTTTCACCAAGCTGTCTATCACCAAGCTGTCTTTCACCAAGCTGTCTTTCACCAAGCTGTCTTTCACCAAGCTGTCTATCACCAAGCTGTCTTTCACCAAGCTGTCTTTCACCAAGCTGTCTTTCACCAAGCTGTCTTTCACCAAGCTGTCTTTCACCAAGCTGTCTTTCACCAAGCTGTCTTTCACCAAGCTGTCTTTCACCAAGCTGTCTTTCACCAAGCTGTCTTTCACCAAGCTGTCTTTCACCAAGCTGTCTTTCACCAAGCTGTCTTTCACCAAGCTGTCTTTCACCAAGCTGTCTTTCACCAAGCTGTCTTTCATCAAGCTGTCTTTCATCAAGCTGTCTTTCACCAAGCTGTCTTTAACCAAGCTGTCTTTCACCAAGCTGTCTTTCACCAAGCTGTCTTTCACCAAGCTGTCTTTCACCAAGCTGTCTTTCACCAAGCTGTCTTTCACCAAGCTGTCTTTCACCAAGCTGTCTTTCACCAAGCTGTCTTTCACCAAGCTGTCTTTCACCAAGCTGTCTTTCACCAAGCTGTCTTTCACCAAGCTGTCTTTCACCAAGCTGTCTTTCACCAAGCTGTCTTTCACCAAGCTGTCTTTCACCAAGCTGTCTTTCACCAAGCTGTCTTTCACCAAGCTGTCTTTCACCAAGCTGTCTTTCACCAAGCTGTCTTTCACCAAGCTGTCTTTCACCAAGCTGTCTTTCACCAAGCTGTCTTTCACCAAGCTGTCTTTCACCAAGCTGTCTTTCACCAAGCTGTCTTTCACCAAGCTGTCTTTCACCAAGCTGTCTTTCACCAAGCTGTCTTTCACCAAGCTGTCTTTCACCAAGCTGTCTTTCACCAAGCTGTCTTTCACCAAGCTGTCTTTCACCAAGCTGTCTTTCACCAAGCTGTCTTTCACCAAGCTGTCTTTCACCAAGCTGTCTTTCACCAAGCTGTCTTTCACCAAGCTGTCTTTCACCAAGCTGTCTTTCACCAAGCTGTCTTTCACCAAGCTGTCTTTCACCAAGCTGTCTTTCACCAAGCTGTCTTTCACCAAGCTGTCTTTCACCACCAAGCTGTCTTTCACCAAGCTGTCTTTCACCAAGCTGTCTTTCACCAAGCTGTCTTTCACCAAGCTGTCTTTCACCAAGCTGTCTTTCACCAAGCTGTCTTTCACCAAGTTGTCTTGTAGCTCTTCTCTTCCTAGCGAGCAGCGTGCATTGCTTCGTTTTGCCCTTGCACCCAGTTCCCCTCCCTTCCTTTTCCTCCCTTCCCTCTCCTGCCCTCCCTAATCCTTCCTCCCTTCCCTCCTTCCCCCCTTCCCCTCTTCCGCTCTCACCCCTCCCGCTTCCCCCTCTTCTCCCCCCGCAGGCCACTACGAGACTCCTTGTTATACCTGAGCAACGAGGCGAGTTACTCGCTCGGACTCGGCCGAGTTACTCGTTTGGGTGCGAGTAACGAGTTTCGTTTTTTGTAAAATTTACTCGGCCGAGTCGAGCCGAGTATTACTCGCCGAGTTTTTTTTGCTCGACGAGTACTCGCTTTCCTGGGCTTCCCTAGGCCACCATGGACCACCTTGGGTTTACCTGGGCGGCCCTGGAAACCCAAATACTACGTGGTACCATGGACTTCACTAGGCGTTATGTACAAGTCGTTCTATGCCCCTATAGGGGGCATGGCCGAGCATTACTCGTACTCGGACGAGTTTTTCAAATTGCTCGCCCGAGTTTCCCTAAAGAAGGCGAGTAACGAGTATCTGTTTGGGGGAAAATTGCTCGGTCGAGTATTACTCGACTCGGGCTCGTACCCGGCCGAGCATGGCTAGGGACGAGTCGAGCATTACTCGTGCTCGGCTCGTTGCACAGGTATACTCCTTGTTACCAGCATGTATTCACCCCTTCCGCCCTCCCCCCTTTTCCGCCCCTCCCTTCCCCCTTTCCCTCCAGGCCACTATGAGATGATATTCCTGGTGCACGAGGGGCGCGTGGACGAAACTCATCCACCCCTTCTGCTCTCCCCTCCTCCCTATTCCCCACAATCCCCCCCATCTCCCAATCCCCCACCCCCCCACGCCAACCCCCTCCACTCCAGGCCACTATGAGATGATATTCCTGGTGCACGAGGGGCGCACGGACAAAACTTATTGTTGTCACACTCCTTTCCGCCCCTCCCCCCTTCCGCCCCCCCCACCATCACCAGGCCACTACGAGATGATATTCCTGGTGCACGAGGGGCGCACAGACGAAACTCCCGCTATCATAGAGAAGATCACAGGTGGGCGGGCGATGAATGCTTGCGAGTGTGACTGTAACGGTTGGCTAGTCTGGGAGTGTGATTCTTTTGGCTGTGTCTCCATGTTTGAAGATTGCAATGGCTATCGCTCCCTGTGTGATTATGCACGTGGCTATGCATGTGCCTATGCATGTGCCTATGGATGTGCCTATGCGAGTGCCTATACATGTGCCTAGGCAAGTGGGAATTTGTGTAAGTGTGATGTGACGGTGACAGAGCCGCACACCCACCTTTCCCCTTCACCTCCCCCTGTCCCACATTCGGCTCTTCCCCCACTCAATGGGTTCCAAAGATGGTGTTCTCGGGGGACTTGAGCTACCGACACGCTCAGGCATAATCCATCACCCCTTCCGCTCCCCTTCCCCTCCCTTTCCGTTTTTGCAGAGATGGTGAAGGACGCGCAGGGCAGTTTTGAGACATCTCAAAACTAGAGTGACTTATGAGTCGACTCAAAAGTCACCTTCGACACGCTCAGGCATAATCCATCACCCCTTCCCCTCCCCTTCCGCTCCCCTTGTGTCCTTGCAGAGATGGTGAAGGATGCGAGGGGCACGGTGTGGAGAGTGAATGACTGGGGCATGAGGCGCCTGGCATACCGTATTCAGAAGACATGGCAGGCGCAATATATCCTCATGAACATCGAGGTTCCCTCAGATAAGATTGCGGCGATTGAGAAGGTTCTGCTGCAGGACGAGAGGGTGATTCGGCACCTTGTGACCAAGCAGGATAAGGCGGAGAGGAAGGATTACCCCGCTCCGGTGATGTACAATGCGGTTGGGAGCGGTGGGGATGAGTCGGATGATGATGAGGATGAGGAGGATGAGGATGAGGATGACGAAGAGGATTGGGAGGATGAGGATGAGGATGAGGAGGACGAGGAGGAAGAGGGGGAGGAGAGTGAGGGAAAGAGGTTACCAGCAGAAGTGACAAGTCGTAAAGCCTAGAGGATGATTGGTACAAGATGAATAGCTGATTGGTTTTGCGCACTGTGAAAACACTGCTGGCAACACCTCAGGGCCTGTGATGTGATGATTGTTGGGCTGAGAAAAGCCCTTGGGATCTTTTCAAGGCTAAGATCTGGAGTAGAAATGTTGTAATTGCGGAAGCGTATAATAAGATTATTGAACCACCTTGCACTAGTATGTGAGAGCAAGATAGATTGATTTAAAGCAAAGAGATACAATATATATATATATATATATATGATTACAAGGAATACGAAGAGGCGCGATTAACTGTTTTGCTGTTGCGGTTCGATACAGTCTCTGTCGAGAGTAAAGGGAAAAGGTTGGTGCACTATCGAGAAAGTTGGGTACAAGTAACAAAAACTATACCCTACATTAGCTACCCCACTAAAGCCTACATTTTATTATGACATAGGCATATAATTTGACACACCCCCATAGGCAAAGTGGGGGAGAGTAAGGGGTCACAAGACCAGTCAAGAGAAGCAAAGCAAGCTTAGGGGGGATCACAACATCACCACACACACTGAGCACAAGCAAAGGGCCACAAGGCCAGAGCAACAACAATAGTACAGTGATCTCTACTTAGCAGAGCAAGCATGCAGGAATATATATAGATCACAGTATAAGCAAACTCTACAGCAAGTGAGGAAAAGTGGGCACAAGGCCTAACAAAGTGCAGAAACGCTGATGATCACCAGACGGAAGTGCCTTCGTGAATATATCAGCAGTGTTGGCCCGAGTGGTCACGTGTGCAAGACGAAGCTGACCACGCTGCTGCAACTCTCGAGCCAAGAAGTAACGCAGAGCGATGTGCTTCGTTCTGTGCTCCAGTCTGTGCTCCTGACACAAGGCAATGGCGGCCTTGTTGTCGACGTACAGCACTGGAGGAGAACGAGGCCGCTCTCCCAAGTCGGTCAGCAGGTAGGTGAGCCAGCGTATCTCCTGTGCAGCCATGGCTGTGGCGTAGATCTCAGCCTCACAACTTGAGCTGAGAACTGATGACGAGCGTCTAGAACGCCAAAAACTGAACCAGAGCCAAGGCTGAAGGTGTAACCCTGTGACGACCGCTGCGTAGCCTGGTCGTCAACCCAAGAAGCGTCCGAGTGACCAGTGAGGACAACGTCGCCCCGTCCTCTAAGCACGAGCCCCATGCCCGATGTACTGCACAAGTAGCGCAATACCCTCTTAGCAGCATCCATGTGCACCTTTCGGTGCCGACCAGGAGCCACGTAGCGAGCCAGAAGGCCAAGAGGGTACGCAAGGTCAGGACGAGTGCAGGTCATCAGGTACATGAGGCAGCCCACTAGCTCTGGGTAAGGACCACTCGGCTCTACGGACTCGTCCGAAGGTGGAGCTGAGAGCGAGTGACCTGTAGCAAGAGGAGTGGCCTGTGCTGAGGACCAGGTGAAACCGAAGCGCTGAAGGACCTGCTGCACCATGTGTGACTGAGTCAGTGTGATGGTGCGGCGTGCTCTGTCCCGGGTGATCTGCAAGCCAAGATAGCTGCGCAGTTCACCCAGGTCTGTGCACGTGTGTCTCTTCTACAGCTCCGACTTCACCAGGGCGAGAGCCTCAGTGTCATTAGTGGCAAAGACCAAGTCGTCGACGTACACGAGGATGTAGAACGGCGGCAGCTAAGTGTCGGTGCGCAGAAATAGCGACGGGTCAGCAGTCGACGGAGCAAACCCAAGAGCCGCAAGTGTCGTCCTCAGTGTGTCGTGCCACTCACGTGGCGCCTGGCGGAGACCGTAGACCGGCCGCCGGAGGCTCCACTGGGTACCAGGAGGGAACGACCCAGTGAAGCCAGGCGGGCGGCGCAGCCAGATCTCCTCGTGCAGGCTGCCCTGCAAGAAAGCTGTGCTGAAGTCAAGAGAGTGAAGCTCGTAGTCACGCAGAGCGGCAACGTGCAGCAGCACCCAAAGAGTGGTCATCTTTGGGGTGGGGCAGAAGGTCTGGAAGAAGTCAACTCCCTCTCGCTGACTGAAACCTTGAGCAACGTAACGAGCCTTGAAGACAGGCGGAGAACCTGGCGGCCGCTTCACCCTGAAAATCCACATGCCACTGACGATGTTCGCCCCAAGAGGGGGAACCTCGTCGACGTAGGTGCCTGTGGACTTCCAAGATGCCATCTCTGCGTCCATGGCTGTCTGCCACTGAGAGGAGTACTCACCCACGATCGCCTCAGCGTAAGAGCGCGGGGTCGGGATGTCTGGAGCATCCGGGTCTCCCTCAGAGGCAAGCAGCATGGACACGAGATGAGGCGCAGCGGCTGCAAGACACTCAAGTGCCTCCTGTGTGTCCTCAAGGACGTCCGTGCCAAGAGCACACTCACCCCCGACGGACGGAGGACTGGCAGACGCAGACTCAGCAACAAGACTAGCGGCTTAGTCTAGACGACAGGCAGCAGCAAAGTCAACAAGCTCAGCGACTAAGGCAGACGCAGCAGTAGACTCAAACGACAGGTCAGTGACAACTGTGGCTAGCAGACGCGTGACAGTAGGGTGAGCAGCACGAGCGCGGTCAGACTCAGGCTCAGGAACGGTAGGCAGAGAAGACGCAGGAGGGGACGGCAGGGGAACACTCTGCGGAGGAGAGGAAGGACGACGGACTACAAGGTGGGTGCCGGGGACAGCCGGCTGACACGAACAAGGAACACGACGACCGGAACGACCAGAACGGACAGGCGAGACAAGACGCGACGCAGGCTCACGACGCTCAGTAAGACCCCCTGTCTGCTCAGTGTAAGGAGAAGGAACAGGCAGCGGTGAGCCAGGCTGTAACGGAAGACCAGTAGACAAAGGGAGACTAAGAACCTGGCGAAGCACAGAGTCAGACGGTGGCTGAGACGACGGAGACGGTGGAGCAAAGAACAGGCGCGGCTGTGCAGTGCTACCAGCACCAGCAGCTCCAGCACCCCCAGCAGTCCCAGCACCTCCAGCAGCTCCAGAACCCTCAGCTCTAGCTCCTCCAGGACCAGCTCCACCAGCAGCAGCACCCCCAGAACCGGCACCTCCAGTCCCAGGGTCTCCAGCAGCAGCACCCTCAAGCTCAGCACCTCCAGCCCCAGCAGCTCCAGTACCTCCAGTACGAGCACCTCCGGGACCAGCACCAATCCCAGCTCCAGTGACGTCAGCAGAAGTACCTCCAGTGGCAGAGCCCCGAGCTCCAGAAGCGTGACCCTGACGGCGACCGTACCAGTCGTGCAGCTGCTGTGAGGTGAGAGGCACACGCGGACGAAGGCGGCTACTCCAAGGAGACCGTGCAACAGCAGACTCAGAACCCTCAGTGCCAGCACCCGCAGCAGCTCCAGAACCTCCAACGACAGCACCCTCAGCAGCTCTACAACCTCTAGCTCCAGCACCCTCAGCAGCTCCAGAACCTCCAGCAGAAACAACTCCAGTAGCAGAGTCACCAGCTCCAGCGCCTCCCGCAGCAGGGCCCCTAGCTCCAGCAGTGCGACCCTGACGGCCAACATACCACTCACGCAGCTGCTGTGGGGAGAGAGGGAGTCGACGACGAGAGTGCAGCGGCGAGGTACCAGCGGAGCGACTACGGAGACGGCCGCTCCAGGGAGACTGCTCACCAGACGCCTCAGCGCCCCTAGGTGCAGCACCCCCAGGCTCAGTACCCCCAGGCTCAGCACCCCGAGACTCCTCACGCCCAGGCTCAGCATCCCCAGGCTCAGCACCCCTAGGCTCCGCACCCCCAGGCTCAGCACCCCCAGAAGCAGCACCCCGAGCAGGACCACCCTCAGCAGGACCCGAGTCACCAGTGACCTCAACCGGCGCAGTCAAGGGAGGAGGGTCTACCTGAGACACACCTGAAGGAGCAGGACCGGGAGCGGGGAGGGGGTCTACCTGGGGAGCACCTGGAGCGAGGAAGAGCGGCGGGGGGGGGAGAGGGGCAGTGCGGTAGGCGAAGAGACGGTAAAAGGGAACCGACTCGTCGAACGTGACATCCTGAGAGGACCCGGACCCGGAAACGTGACGCATCGCCAACCTTCCCGGTCCACAGCAGTGTGGGCGAGGTCTCCGGCAAGGAGACACGGGGCCAGAGGTTGAGCTGATGCGCGGCGTACCGGACCGCAAACGGCCACAGAAAATGGGGGGCAGCCGCATGGATCATGGAGGTACGAGCGACCTCCATGACTAAGCCAATGCGACGCTCAGCAACCCCATTCTGCTGCGGAGAGGCCGGAAGCGTGAATGTCTGGCGGATGCCGTGCTCCGCACAGAAGGCTGCCAAGAGGTCGGAGGAAAACTCCCCACCTCTGTCAGAGTGCAGACGCAGGACGGGAAACTCCGTCCCGAACCGCTCGCGGAGCTGGAGACGAGCAGCGCGGATCCAAGGGATCAAAACATCAGGGATCTCACCCTTACTGCGCAAGGGGAAGACCGTGGTGTAACGCGTGTAGTCATCGACGACCAGCAGGAAGTACCGCTCGTGGCCCTGTCCACGGACGCGGGCTGGGCCCCACACGTCCAGGTGGAGAGTCTGCAGGGGAGCCTCTGTGGGAGGGAACGAGGAGGAGTGAGGAGCGGCGCGCTGCCGCTCCTCGACACAGGGAAGACAAGGAGGAGCAGGCGAGGGTGGGAGGGGAGGGAGAACCCTGGGAAGACCAGAGACAAGGACACGTCGGTGCATGCTACGAAGGCGCTGCACCGAGGGGTGACCAAGGCGGTGGTGCCAAAGGAGGGTCTGGTGCGACAAAGCGCGACACGAGCAGGGGGCCGCTAGCTGACCTGACGCAGACGCAGCGACCTGAGGGGACACAGTAGTCAGTGTGTACAAACTCGAGCCAGGCGCACGGGTAAACGTGGCCAGGTGCCGGCCCGTCCGGGAGCACGTACAGTGGGTCACGCGCTGACCTCCAGGAGTGAACTGGTCAACCCACTGGTCCTGGAGGTCAGCACCACTCACCAAGTTCGTAGAGAATGAGGGGAGGTGAAGACCTGACAGGGAGCCAGACGGGACCG